ACGAATGACATTACAGAGACGCTTCAACTGATTAATGATAAGTATGGCAACACAGCAAACGCTGTTAAAAATGGGCTTAAAGCGACGCTTAAGCATTTTCAAGAAGCAGAGGTGTTAAGAAAAGGCTGTTTTATTAAAGAAGATTCGTATTCCAACGCTTGGAAGTCGTCATTTGAATCCCTGCAGTGGAGGGAAAAAAGGCGAGATAATTTGCGATGGCATTTACAGAAACGAACCCTGAACACTGCCTTAAAGAAAATATAACAAAGTAAGAGAAACAGGAGCCCATCGGACGGCCCTGAAAAGCGCCAGCAGGCTATGTCTTCAAAGAAAAAGAAAACAGGCAGTGGCAAACAAGAAGAAATTTCACTGAATGACGAAACAAGCCAGAAGAAAAATGTGGACGTCACAACAACAGTAGTAGTGAAGATGGCTGAAGGACAGACCTTTGCAACGGTTCTGAAAACTATAAAGGCGAACTTCGCTCCCGATAAGGCTAAAGTGGCAGTCCAAAGTGTTGTCACCACAAAAAAAGAAGACATACTTATTAAGGCTAAAGGTGTAGAGAATGCTACTGTATTTTCACAGCAAATTGAAAAGTCAGTAGCCGGAAAGGGTACTGTCAAAATGAGTGACAGAAAAGTGACATTAGAGGTCCGAGACCTGGATGCCATTGTAGATTAAGATGAGGTCAAAGAGGCTTTCGCTAGGACATTTGGACATCAGAGCCAGGAGCCAGAAGTTGCCCTTTTAAAGCCAAATGCCAGAGGACAGAGGCTGGCTTTAATAAAGGTGGATGAAGCATTTGCCAGACAAGTAGAAAAGGCAGGTAGGTTACGAGTTAGCTTTGTAAGCTGCTGAATTCGAAGAAGAATTAAAGTTACAAGATGTTACAAATGCCTGGGATTTTGACACATCTCAGGCAACTGTGAGAACGAAAACAGATCCAAGCTTTGCTTCCGGTGTGGAAGCTTTAACCACTGGAGGAAAGAGTGTCCAGGCCCAGCACGGTGCTTCCTTTGCCTAACAACGGACAACAAGCACGAAGCAGGCAGTGGGAGCTGCCCTTTATTTAGAAAAGCCCTGAAAGAGGCTAGGGATAAGGCTCAAGCAGGATCAAATAAGGCAAAAAGGCCTTGAGTTGAAAGACAGTCTTATGTGGACCCATGCTGCGCTGGGTACTTTTTACCTATCAGCAAGGGAAAGCATTAAGCTTATAGTAGTGCTGGCTAAGTAGGCGGCCTACAATGAAGCGCTAGACAAGGTGCTGGTGCTTAGGGACCCTGAGTCCTCTTCAGGACTCGAGAGCATCAGCACCTTAGCAAATGGTGGCGAGTTAGCTTGTTAATGCTGCGAGACGCGATGGTCTCCCTGGTGGCTTCACCCTGAAGTAATGCTAACGCGGTTCCGGGGTGGATCAAAAGCCATGCGGTATCGAGGGGGGGGGTTTTAGTGGGTATGGGTGGTCTAATAAAAAAAATCCACCGAGTCCCACACTACCGCTGTCCCTGCGGTGTGCCTCAATGCATTTCCCCTCCCTCCACAAAAAACTACTACTACTACTACTACTACCACTACCACTACCAACTACTACTACTACTACTACTACTACTACTACTACTACTACTACTACTACTACTACTACTACTACTACTACTACTACTACTACTACTACTACTACTGATACTACTACTACTACTACTACTACTACCACTACCACTACCACTACCACTACCACTACCACTACTACTACTACCACTACTACTACTACTACTACTACTACTACTACTACTACTACTACTACTACTACTACTACTACTACTACTACTACTACTACTACCACTACCACTACTACTACCACTACTACTACCACTACTACTACTACTACTACCACTACCACTACCACTACCACTACCACTACCACTACCACTACCACTACCACTACCACTACTACTACTACTACTACTACTACTACTACTACTACTATTACCCGTTGTTTATAGAAGGAAGCGGTGGTTAAAACATTCTTCTCAGTACATGCATCACACACTCTCACTTAACAAACACAGGGACACTTACGGATTGTTCTGGGTTGCGTGTGGCGGGTCCTTTTCTGGGCTTGCGTTGGAGGCCTGGCGGCTGGTGAAGCCGGATTATGAGGCCCAGATAAGTCTGGGTAACTACATCTGATATGGCTGGACGCCTCATAAAAAAAGACGTGGTGGACCAACTAATCCAGGCTTACTACCACTAAGGAGGCTACACGGCGGTACCTTAGTGCCTTACGCCAGCCCGTTTTGTTGAGTTGTCTGCGCGGTCGTGGGACTGTACACCTCCGCTCGCCTCGCTGGGATGATTGTTGTGTACCAACATATGCATACATTACACACGAACATCATTCTCACACTTTTTACTCAACGCCAGGGCAGTCTCCGCGGGTGAGACTGAGGGAGAGTGGCGACTCCCAGCTGGCCCAAGCAAGTAGCGGTTCTCTCTGGTCACAGAGAGGGCTGCTGCCCTGGTTTCAACCCTTTCCAAATACTTATTTTTAGGAAAAAAAAGGGTAGTACTGGCCTTCGCGGGTCAGTACGACACAAAAAAAGATGCCAAAATCAAAAACATTGATGCAAAACTAGTACCCCGGGCGGTAACCTCTCTGAGGGAATCCGCCGGCAGTTTTGATCCGGTGAAAGCTCGGGTGACTGTCGCAGGTCCCACGGATTTTGGGGCGGGAGGGCATAAAGACGTGTTTCATGGCCAAGAGGGACTGTAAATGTTCCATGGCCTTCTCTTACAGACAAAGGACGAAGAGGAAGCCTGTCGAGTATAGGCACTAACGACACTGAGGACAGCAACGTTTAGGTATTTAGCAACCAGACCTGGAAGGAGCTTGCCTCTTTAGAAGTAAGTGTCGCTAGGCTCCGAGTAAAGTGACTGCAAGTTGCTGATGAAGTCCAATCAGCAACGGAAGACATTATAGAGACGCTACAAATGATTAACGATAAGTACTGCAACACAGCGAACGCTGTTAAAAATGGGCTCAACGCATCAAGCATTAAGCTTATATTAGTGGTGCTTTCTAGGTTAGCAGCCTACTATGGAGCGCTTGAAAGGGTGCTGGTCCTCAGGGACCCCGAGTCCTTTACAGGACTCGTGAGCATTAGCACCTCTAGCAATTGGTGGTGAGGTAGCTCGTTAATGCTATGAGACGCGATGGTCTTCCTGGTGGCTCCACCCTGAAGTAATGCTATCGCGGTTCCATGGTGGATCAAAAGCCACGTGGCATGGGGGGGTTTTAGTGGGTATGGGTGGTCTAATAAAAAAAATCCACCGAGTCCCACACTACCGCTGTCCCTGCGGTGTGCCTCAATGCATTTCCCCTCCCTCCACAAAAAAAAAACTACTACTGCTACTACTACTGCAACTACTATTACTACTAAAANGGGGGGGGTTTTAGTGGGTATGGGTGGTCTAATAAAAAAAATCCACCGAGTCCCACACTACCGCTGTCCCTGCGGTGTGCCTCAATGCATTTCCCCTCCCTCCAAAAAAAAAAAAAAAACTTCTACTACTACTACTACTTTACTTCTACAATTGCTTCTGCTGATACAAGAGAAGCTTGATTCTATGGAAAGTGATAGTGTGTATCTCAGATTTAAGTGAAATCAAGAAATTTAGGAAGTTTAATCTGCTACAAGAGGGATTTAAAAGACACTCAAAGTCATCAACCAGAAGTTTAAGAATATTAAAATGGTCGACAAAGATGGTCTAAAATTTGCTCTTAGATACCTAAAATCAGTAGCAACTAAAAGAGAAGCTGTTCTTATTAATAAAGAGTGGTACAGTAAATTATAAAAGGAGCATTTTAAATTCTGCAACTTCAGAAACACAGAAGAAATAATTACTGTCGGTACTTTAAAAAAAAAAAAAATTGGGTCACTGCCCTTTAGAAAATCGATCGTGTCAAGAGAAACTTGTGTTTCTCAGACAGCCCCAAGAATGATTATAAATCTGTCATTTGGAAAAAAAGAGAACAGATGAAGTTCAACAAGGTCGATGAAGAAGCAAAAACGTTTTATAGTAATAAAAGTGGCCAAAAGTAAAGCACTGACATAACAACAAAAGTCCTAGTAAAGGTTGGAGAAGGGTTACTATCGTCGATGAAGGCCACTTTTAACCTTGATATGACAAGAGCTGTTGTGGAAATAGTTGTCACATCCAAAAAAGGAGATTTGCTTTCAAAAGAAGTTATGAATGCAGTTAAATTTTTACAAAGAATGTAAATGTCAGTAGCTGGTTAAGGAAATGTAGTCATTACAGCTCTGGAAACGACGCTTGAGGTTTACGATTTATGTAGTCTCCTGAAAGAAGGAGAAATGAAGGAATTTTTCTTGAAAGTCATTAAAAGCCAAAGTTGAAACTTGAAGACCGTGACTAGATGCTTCTAATATCTAGGGCACGTTTCGGTCTTCTGAGAATGTAGTGGAATGGGTAGATCAAAGCTATGTTTCTGGTGTGGCAGCTGTAATTATTAGAAAAAAGACTGTGAGACTATAGCATATTGTCTTTTCTGTTAGATAGGAAATCTGAACCGTGAAGCTGGCAGTAGGAGCTGCTTGACATTTAAACGTTCTCTACATAAGGCTAGATAAAAGGTTTAAGTGGGTCTTAGGTGAAGACGCAAATTTTTTTAGAATTGTAAAACCTAATGCAGACTCATACTGTGCTAAGTACATTTATTTATCAGCTTGGAAAAGCATTAAACATATAGTGGTGCTTGCAAGTAATTTTAACAGCTTTGCTGCTATTTCATTTGAATATTTGTTAAATCTTGTTTTCTTCATGCTGGAAACTTCAATATTTTTGTATCTCAATGTATTAAGCTAAAAAAAATTTTTTAATAGGGTTTGTTTTGTTCTTTATTAAAGGTTACTGTGTTTGAAAGTGTATAATATTACAACAAAATCATTCTCTTTACAATGGAATTATTTTTTTTTCAGACACCCTTTAGAGAACCACACCGTTGTTGTTCAAGAAATAATCAGAGCTTTAACTATGATAGTAATAGTTTGCCTGCAGAAGTGCCCGAAATCTTCGATATTAATAATCAGAGTTTACAAGAGATTGATGGATTAGAGGTATAAATTTTTGCTTTTGTAATTTTTATATATATAATTACAGTTCAAAAACACGATTGTTAAATTTTTTTTCGTACAAGTGCAAAAACACAAAAATATTTTGGAATGGTAAAATTTGTGATATATTAAGGTCAAAGAATAAATACCTTAGTATGGAGCACACGTTTATTGTTAGTCACAATAACAAATATATCCATTTACAAAGTAACAGCAAGACCACTACACCTACTTTGCATACAGTCGTACTAAGAATTCGACGATACTTGTGCTTGTTTGCTTGTTATTGTGCCGATGCTGGCTTTTGGCCTTACATGGTTCTACTTATACATATTTTAATCCTTTCACCTTGAACAAAATCATTGTTTCAATCGACTGCAGTTATAATTTAATCGAGAGACTGTCTTGTGTTTGCGTTGAGAACGCTTTAGTGGCTTGAAATCGTCCGATTGTTTAATTTTTTTTAACACGTTACGTCCGCTGTCTTTAGGTGGTGCTTCGGAATTTACAACGATGTTTTTTCAAATTTTAACTTTATAGTATTTATATAAGTTGCAACGGAGTCGTCAACAGCCGGTTAAACAAGGATGCTTGCGGTTGACACTTCTATTAAACAAAGCATAAGGGGTAAGAGATCAAGATAATTCACATATCCTTTTTAAATTAAATTATTAACTGCTTTCAACGTTTAATGAACTGGACTGCTTGTATCTAATATCTCAGCTCCCACTCAATAACTATGCTTTACATTCTTCGCCATAACATTATCTTTTTTTTCAAAATTGACATGCTTATTCCCTAAAAATATTTTTTTAAGTTTCTTGTTTACTTGATACAAAATATGCTACATATTTTTGTTATTAAGCGAATCCATTCAAAAATTTCTTTCTGATTTTTAGCTGTACAGGAGATACTCATCTTGTAAAGTGTGAAGTGATAAAAAAAATTTCTAGTGATGGCTTTCTGTTTTTGTTACCTTCCAATAAAAATAACGAGAATTTTTTTTATATATTAACTGCGTTCTTTACTATGACATTGCTCGCAGGATCATATGGAGTGACGAAACCACGAGCGTTTCAAACCTGCGTGACTCTATTTATTAAATGCATCGGCAAATAAATGGTCTGTAATTGTCCTACAACTTTTATTTATTGACTTTTATGTATTATTCTATTTTCAAACCCACAAAGACTCGTCATCAACCTTATAACTATTTTTCTATCTTCCTGTAATTACATACATTTCCGATTCATAAAATACTATCGATAGAGTAACGATGAAATTGTGGGTCTCTTAAGGTCTCGACAGAATAAAAAAAAACCAGGTGAGGGTCTCGGGACCCCTGGCAGAAGTGAAACATCCAACTCAAATGTTATTTAACTCGGTATAACAGAAACTGAGAAACATAGATTACACCTAATTTCATTAGGTCTTTAAGAATCCGGTATTAAAATAGTAAATTTTTTTATTATTATTACGTATGTAAGCACACGCATGCACAATGTACTTATACTTATATACAATACTTATGTTCCACGTAATTCGCGCATTCTAAGTATTACCATGTTTGATATGATATATCTATTAATACATGTACGAATTGTTGGGCATGTAATGCAGAACGAAAAGAAAATTCTCAACAAACTCGTAAAAATGATTATTTTGGGTATATCTTGCTTCCTTTTCGAAATATTACTGTTTTTTAAATTTTGAGAAGTTATGTTATGCCAAAAATTTATCAAAGGTTCTTTAAATATCCATAATAATTTTTCAAACATGGCATGGACAAAAAAAATTTCTTTACTCGTTCTTTTCAAGATATAGTCAAAAAAGGAAATTACTTAGATTATGTTTGTGAATAATCCAACCTCTCTATATTTGTGCACCTCAATAATGTGTTTAATCCTTAGGAATCCCATAAAAATTGTTATTTCAAGCTAATTTTGCTTCCGTTTCGAGATATAGCATTTTTTCTTGTTTTAAAAAGTTAGGTTTTCGTACTATACATATTTAATACTTTACGCTTGTTTTTTTCATACATATAAACATCTATGTAATGTCCAGGACATGCAACATGTATATATGTATACAATATATATACGTATACTTTGCCTCTAGTATAGGTATGTACAGATCTTTTTCTCTTCCTTTATCTTTTCTTCTTACCTACACCTCAGCTTGAGCAAGCATATCGGTTTAGTATAATGTGTATGCATGTATGTGTTTATTGTATTGTATCGTATTATACTTCATTGAGACCTTGTGGCTATGCCATATCTGACCCTCTAGTAATTTTACATCGAACAGATATCATAGAAGTATATAATGAGTCCAACAAATACAGAAAATGTAAAAACTAAATGTAATCGCAAATGTCTACTAATTTGTATACAAAGTTGAGTAAGGAAGTTAATAATTGACATTAAAAACGGTGAAAGACTTAAAGTATAATTGAAAATAGGCGGGTATAATAGTATAATAATAAAGAAGCAAGTAAGCAATTAGATATATTTGTAGAGATGTAAGTAATAGAACAGCAGCAAAATTTCAATTGGTCATTTATAAACCAGGTATAATTTATACACCTAAGGTGGTAGAGTTTCGAACAGGCAACACAGCACACTCTATAATTAATGGACGTAGCACTATTTAAAAAATCAGAGCGCTTACAATCAGACAAGACTTGTGCATAATACGGGTTTATAATTTAGAGCAACTAATGGAGAGCCGATATCATTTAAAAGGTTCCAATGAGTCTTTGTACTTTAAAAAAATACAATTAAACTTAATTATTATTATCAGCACTACACAAAAAAATTTTATAAGATATATATATATATTACTATAATCGACATGTAGGAAGGCGATGTATACAAACATAGTTAGATACTGGAGAAACCAAGAGTAAAGGGCACCAGTTGAGGTACATCAATTTTCTAGGATAGATATACATATACTTTTACAGTACAACTTTGAGTTATAAAGAGTAAATCGTGCTAAGGAAGATAAAGTTGACGAGAACGAAAAAAAAAATTCCTAGTAATGTACAAGAAAAAAACCACAGTATCACTTACGCACGTAACAAAAAACACATACTAAATTTAGAAAATCAAGCAGCCGCAATGCAGAAGTTTATGCTTCGAGCGGTTGCAAAAAAATGTGTGTGCAACAGTTCTGCAATACAAGAACGCCCGAAGGCAGAAAAGTGGCAGAATACGTGTGTATATATAGGTGTAGTATCAGCGTGAGGGGAACAGAACGCGTGGTGTACATGCGAGTGATGTGAGAGAGAGAGAGAGAGAGACTGAGTAAGAGGAAGTAAGTAAGAGAGAAGATTAAGGAGAGGGCTTGGGCCGCAGAGTGGATGGCTACATTTTTTCGTTACGCATTTCATCTCACGTAGCTATTCACGGCCCAACATACGTTTTACTTAAAAAATAGTATAATCTTATTGATGAAAACAATATAACTTTTTTTATAAATTTTTTTTTGTTTTTTTGTTCAACGTTGTGTTACTTATGTGCTATTTTAACCTATATAATATTTTAAAACCTTTAAGACATTTTTCACAAATTTTATTTTTGCGCGTGTGCATGTGCTCGCGCGTGTGTGTGCGTGCTCGCGCGCGTATGTGTGTGTGAAGATGTTCTGAACCTTTTCTTACATTCTGTAGAATCAAATGATTTTTCGTTATAACTCTTTATTTCACGTAATTTTCACCTTGTTCTGAGGCTTACATGTTTTTAATATATTCATCTCAAGTACAGCAGTGAATGATTGCAGTGATACATTTGTACTATGATTTAGTAGCTCTGGCTGTTAACGATAATTATCTTAAAAATATAAAAAGTTAGCCTTCTCTAAGCCTTCTCATTGTCATGTTACTCCGTGGCTCCTCTTAATATAAAGTGAATCCATATAAGGTTGTATAATATGGAACCTAGCCATGAGCTCATAATAGAAATTGATATCTTGATAGCTCCGCTCGAGCCACCTTTAACACAGGGTGATACTATTCTAGTTTTTTTGTTATCGAATTCAGCTAAAGTTTCTATTTAATTCCGTAAGACTTCTATGAATTCTACTTATCTTTTGTTTCATTTAATGTAAAATATGATTGTTTCGTTTCTTCGCTGTGTTGAACGGCTAAAATTTTCTTATTAGTACCTCTTAATCTTTTTCGAAATTTCAAAGCAGAATTGTATTTTCGTTCTCATTACTTAATTAACTATAAGTTTTTTGTTCAATTTTTTTAATGTAAAAATTTATTATAATTTTCTTTTCTGTATAACTTGTTAGCAACTTTCCAAATCTTTATCTAGGTATTACTGCGGCACACTGTCTCATTTCTGAATTGCTAATGAGATTGTGAGTTTAGTTATTAATTGTGTTTAAAAATGTGACATAATTGAATATGACAAAAATAATCGCATAATTAGTCAAAAAACAATGATTGAACTTACGGAATAGTTGTATAAGCAATTTCGGTGCCCTCCAATACATTAAGAAGTAAGGTGATTGGTAATCCGTTAGAGGAAGGGGGGGTTCAAAGAATGATTACACTTGAGGTATTTAAATTCCTTGTTTTAATACAGCGAAGTTTCGCTAACTATTTGTGTCAGCCTCATCAAGCCAAAAGGGATTTTTATATGGTTAAATATGCACAACGATACAATGCATAATATAATTTATATTACGCCCCAGTTATCTCACGTACGCGAGAGTTAATGAGTCTTACGACTCACTTGTCACTAGTCGAACGATGAACTAAGTTATGTAATAAGGCTTTGCGATGCTTATACAGCTGGCGCGAGAAAGGTAGATGTCCGACGGCATTATCCTCGCTCGGAACATTTAAACTTTCGTAATAACCGAAAGTATAATTTATTAAAGTATTGTATGTCTTCCTTCTTGTAGATATTACTATATACAACATTTCAGAAATAATTCGTTTGCCACAGTTAGCTTTTTTGACGAGCACATTTATGTTATTTCAATTAAAC